AAAAAAATAGGTGGGGATTAAACACTATAAATGGTAACCATTCTGAGATGTATATAAAAAAATGTTACCTTTAGAACATGCTTTGCAAGTACTTACGGAAACAACACAAGTAATTTTAGACCATGTTCCACTTGACAGTATAGGAGGATAAAGTAACAAATGTTCACCCTTTTAATAAAGCACTTAGAAATCTCTACATCCGTACACATTTAAAACGTAATAATATATTAAATAAATGAAATTCATTTATTTTATTTTTTCAAAGTTTTCAGTGCTAACTGAAGGATGGAATCTATTTTCAAGGAAGTCAACATAAACCTTCAGATAAATGGTTACTATAATTAAAAATCAGTTTTGTAACATGCGACATGAAAAAGGTGTAAGCCAAAACATTTTCCTGAAATTGTTTATCATCTTCATTGACAATTAAAATCAGTAAAACATTGTTATTTCTAAGATTTGTACCATATTTGTATTAGATGACACATGTAAGGAAATTAAAAGTTTTGGTTGCCAGTTAAAGACAAGCAAAAGTGATTCTCTAAATTTCTAAGTGTTCAAAGAATCCCTGCTAACTAAAACAGTACAAAATTTAATTTAAGTCTACAAATAAGATTCTGTCCCATCTACCCCTTGAACGTTTAGTTACATTTACATATGCAACCTGATAAAAACCAGACATATCACAATTAAAATATTCCTCTTGCCTTTTCACTGATGTCTGATTCTGCATTTGATGTTTCTGTGGTTGTCGAAGATGTTTCCTCTTCCACAGAAGAAATATCTGTTTGCTTTTTCCATTTTGATTTTATAACCGTTTGAGAATTTTCCTTGGGACTGTTCTGTCTTACCCTGCTTTTACCATTACTCTCAGTGGATATATGTTTAGGCCAGTCTCTAAAACAGCTGGTTTCATCATCCTCTGGAGCCTTTGCAAGATTTTTTTCTGTGTTAGTTCCTTTGGTAGTTTGAGTTGCAGCATTAGATTTATGTTCAGTTTCAGATGATGATCCAAAGGAAAATGGATCCTTGAAAAAACTGGTCCAGCTTCTGCTCGAATTTTTTCTCTTTTTATTAGCTTTTGACTGATCAATACTTTCTTCAATAACCCCATCTGTACTTTTACCATCCTGTTTATTTCTAATAGATCTATTTCGGAGGTTTTTTCCACCATTCTCGTATCGAACTGATGCAATATCTTTACACGGCCCTCCATCAATATCAGGATCCTGTTTATTACTTCCTCTACGCTGCGACCGATGTAATATTCCATTCGCCAACGCATCTGAACTACCATCCCTCTGGGATGAGCCTTCGTATCTCTTGTTAGCTTCTAAACTCAAACTTGATGATGAGCTTGTTGTATCTATTTTACTGCTGAAATAAAATAAAATAATACACACATCTAACTTCCATTAGACACAAACATATGGAAATCCATAAATAATATGAACTGTCATTTTGCTGATTCAGATGAAGTTAGTTGATTTGAAAATTGCAAGGTGTGGTTCATATCATAACTTGTATTTTCAAAAGGAAACAGAAAATTTTTTTATTATTAACGTCTAACCTTTTTAATGTGAGCAGAAATAAAGTCAAGTTCATTTATTTTTGTTAAAATGTTAAAACCATTAATTGTAGTTATGACTTCCATTAAAACTATTTCTAGCTCAGCTCACAAACTTACAACTTTAAGAATATATGCATTTATACACAAACAAGATATAAGATTTAGTCAAAATGTAATCAAATGGTATGATTTGATGATGTACAAATTTATCACTAAATTTTAGGAATCTTGTCTGAAGTTCTGAATAAACAAGAAAAAACACATAAATATTTTAACAATCTAAGTCAAATCCTAATATTCCGAATATCATACGATTTCAAGAAGCCAAAAATATGCTATTATAAAACAAAGTTTGTTTGTGAGTAGCAAAGTACTCCAAGATGGTCCTTTGTTAAAAAGAGCTGGGACTAGGCAGCAAAGTTCTTTTTACAATATGATCTACATGTTAAGCACTGAAGTTAAACCCTTTTGTTTATTTAAAACTCCCAACTTTTGTGAAGGATCAACAAGTTATTTTTATATGTAGTCTTTTGTTCTTTGGTGATCTACAACTTGTCTATTTGTGAATTAAAATAAGGTTTAAGTGGGGGGGGGAGATATGGCTTCATTTAAAGAATTTTCAAATATCCACGACCTTATGAGGACCTACCCTGTATTAGCAGATCAAAACCTTGTCGTCAAACAAGCTTCAAAACAGATGGATGAAGTCTGTTCAAACCTCTCCGACGAACTAGTCTGTTGATTATGTATTAAAAGCAAGAAATGAAACAGAACGGACCAACATAGCTTGACAAAAAATTTTCACAGGGGCTTACTTTTATGTACCCAATGATGAGCCTCTTACTCAAAAAAAAATAATATATTACTAATATATTAAATGCATTTTCAATTGCAACTTATGTTAAAATGGAAAAAAAAAAGATTCCCTACTGGAAGTGGTGGTGGCTGATGGTGCACTGAGAAATTATGCATTTAATATGAATATTCTCAAACAAAGCAAAATGATTACATTTCTGGTATTTGTAATATATCCATGATAGGTTTTGAAAACCTCAAACTGAGCAATAACTTACCCTTGTTTATTTTCTACAGAATTAGCCACGTGGTCCAGGTTGAAAGATGCAAGTTTTTCAGGGATACAATCATTTCCCATTGAAAGAGTAGTTGTGACGATTGAGAAGGATTTTAACAAACTATCTGCCTCAAAATAAGCCATTGCCATCACAACAATCACCAGCAATCCAGTGATACACACTACTAAATAATAGAAAATATATTCCCAGGATGGTCTGGGCAGAGACTGGCCACAGGAAGCTAACATCCGCCGAGGTAAGGTAGCAATAAGCGTATATTGTAATACTAAACCTCCAACTCCGAGGCTGGTGTGTATATTCAGTGTGCGCTCCACACGAGAGAGGGTAAAGTCTGGTGTAAAACTAGATAAAGACAAGAAAATAAACTCAACCACACATGAGAGTGAGTAAATTCTAATGTAAAACTAGATAAACACAAGAAAATAAACTCAACCACACAAATAGTTCACTAACTTTTTTATTTTTCAAAACAAAGATAAGTCACTAATTAAAGATGATTTTTACAATGTGACTAATGTTTAAACACAAGTAAAAAAAATATATAATCCACATTATAAGGAGTTTTTTTACTACTGTAGCTTAAAACATATTTTATAATAGTTCTTAATTGTCTTCAATGGAAATAAAATAAAATAAACACATTACCTACTTTCACGGAGCAATAAAATTTCAGCATACACAGAGGATTTTAACTGTTACATGTTTATAAAAAAATCATTTAAACCTTTCAAGTATTTTGACATCACAAACATCTAATTTGAACCAGTGCTGCATTCAACATACCATGTGAAACACAAAAATCGATGGTTAATTCTATTTTTTAATATTTAGTTTTAAATTAAAAATTAAATAATGTATAAAACTAAAATCTGAATTATAATCTACAGTTTGATACCAAACTTATTGACATTAATTCATGAAACAGTAGTTCAATAAAATTTTGAATGCGAGTCAACAAACGAGATGACATGACCTTTGACCTGTCTGGAGAGGATTAATGGTAATGGAATAGTACAAAGCTATATCATACTGTAATAGCTATTTTATCATTAATTGTAAATTTACCATGTAAAAAAGCTAATTCAGGTTCAGAAATGTTTAATGGTTATCACACTTTATGTGTGAAGTGTTGGTGTTTCACATATAGTTTCTTTCACGAGTTATTAATTTTTATAAATGCAAATGCAGGACAGGCCAGAATCATGTCACTGGGCTGGAAAGAGCTAAATAAAGAAACAAATTTTATTGATAAAAAACTGCTATATGCCTGCATTACAACAATAAAAATAAGTTACTTATCACAATTTATTGATGAGTTACAAAAGTTCACAATGAACAGTTACAAGTAAATTAAAATTACTTATTGTACCAATTTTTTTGCAGGTCACAGAAGTAAATAATATAAAAATAATAAATCATTTGTCTGCAGAATTCTCTTGATTTACAACTTAAATATCAAGTATCGTCACTGTAAAAATGTGAAAAAAATCGAGGTTTTATTCAATAACAACAGCGATGGAACAAGTATTAGCCACTAATGAAGAGGATTATGAAGTAATGCAGTTGCTAAATTACTTGCAGATAAAATAGCCCATTACCTTTGAATTACTGCAGTAAATATGATATACAAATTTAAACTAAAGATATTCTTTTAAATTGAGAAGCAGCAATAAGTGAGACTTACGCAATGTCGACTTTTCGGCTGGAGTTAGGCCTAAGTTCAAAACCCTGACAGTTAAGAACTCGAAATCCAAACCCAGAGCAAGGAACACCATTGATGTCAAACCCTCTGATGTATACAGGTAGCTCTCCCATGTTTCTCGCTGTAAAGGCTCTTCTAACTGTATAGTTAGGTTGAAGAAATTTATTGTTGCGAGAACCTGCAGACAGGCAAATAAGACTAGCAGTAAACAAAATATCCTAACAAGACAAGCAATAAATAAATATGAGAAAATCATAACACACAACATTCACTTATGCTTATTCATTCATCTGGTTTATGTAGAAACACATACAGAAAAATAAATACTACTTGATAAATGCTACTAAGTCATTAAAAATTTATAGTCAAGATCTTTCCTAAAGCTTAGTGCTGAATGTTTTTAAATGAAAGAAAAATGAAATACAAATAACCTTGGATATGATTCTTGATGACTGATGGATCAAAGATTTATGACATATGTAAAAAATTTGGAAAGAACAGTTAAAAATTTCTAATAGAAGAAATACAAAATATTTTAACAGGTTTTTTGTATACCAGACTACAAATAATTATTTGTTCAAGAAATATAAATTTATTACCCACACAAATTCTATGACCAAAGGTCAGGTCTGAGAAATAACTATACTTAATGGAAAGAAAAGTGTATCATGCTTCCCTCTCCAACAATGTGATATAGATAACACTATAACTATTACCAAAAACACTCACATTTAATGCAACACTGTGTACTGTCACATATGTGATGATTAATTTTATCATAACAATACAATACTCACCATTACAGTCTTTAAGATGTTTTTCAGTCATTTCAAACATAAGACTCGAATCTGTTCCTGGAGTTTTACTACCAAAAGTTATCTTCCCTACTCCTCCTTGTTCGTCCTGATTTGATAATAGTGCTTCCATTTTCCACCCATGCTTTACATGTTTCTAAAGTAGAATTATCTTACTAGTCACAAGTTTACACAATTTTAACAAATCTCACTTTAACCAAGATTCACTTTGTAAGAATTCAGACAAAGTAGCTGAATCTGGAGGTTGACAAATGATATGCATTGCATTCAATTAAAGACTGATGTTTTTAAATGCATTTTGTAGTACAACATGTGCTTATCTCTTTGTAAATATTTTGTATTGTAGAAATAACCTAACAATTATGGATGCATTGGTAGTACAAGGGTCTGAGCAAATAAAGCAAACCAGGTTTAAAATTAAGTTCAACAGGATCTTTACATCTCAAAAACTATATTAAAACATGTTTTTATAAACAATATTAAAAGTTTCAATCATCCTTTGATTTATATTGAGTAGGCTTAACATCATGGCATAAATAAATAAAAATACTTAGTAATATTTCTGTTCAGAGTAAGCATTTTTGCATCATTGAAAATTCTTATTACCTAAATGAGAAAAAAGTTTCCATTGAATTAATACAAAGTAAAAACAGGTTTAAAAATATAATTTTTTTTCTCTTTTGCTGTCACCAAAGACTGAGTATGAAACATTATTATTAAGCCTAAATGACAAGAATCCATTCAATAGAGCCTGTTATAAAGTCTTGTCACATTGTTAGTTATACAAGATAATATCTTGCCACTTCAAAGCAGAATGAGTCTCTTTGAGTGTGCACTGTACAAAATGAAAGAAACAAGTTTCATGACAGCAACACAATGCAAACTTCTTTACTAACCAAAACAAGTGAAAACAAAGAATCAAATTAATATTCCAACTTTAAGGTCCTCAGTTTTAAAATGTACAATACATCAGATAATAGAAATAATAACATAATTTTTAAGTTAGCTGATTTTACAACAAACAACTGTTAAGGTAACAAATGTAGTAGGATGATAACCAAATAATCACATAAATATTGAGCAATCTCTAAAGGCTAAATTACACAATTCATAAGTCTCCAAATAAATTATGTTTGAAAAGAACTCCAATCAATACTTTCAGATATTATTATAATTTCTCTTACCTTATTAAAATTAAAGAGGTTCGTTCCATTTCATCTTTTGGTAAAAACCCAACATGTACTCTTGCTTTCATTCCTGGAGCTAATAACATTACTATGGAATTTTTATGAAGCTGGACTCCAAACCGGTCTTCTAAAGCTTTTTTACTCAGAGTAGCAGGACTATCAAGATCTGACTGTGGACAGAAAATGTATTATAAAACCATTATCAGTGCAATAAGCGTCTCTTAGTGAAAAATTATACATTGCTTCAACATAAAGGGTGGACCAAAAGAAAAAAAAGGTATCAATTTAAGCATGTTAGGCAAATTGTTGGAGTACACTGAATATAATTCTTTCAATTAATTCTCAAAAACTAGTATAAAGTCAGTATTGGTTGTTACTAATAATAAATTAGATTAACACAAAACATTGTTACTTATAAAGGCTTTGAATATTTTGGAATACACTTATTCTATTTCAGCAAAAATCTAGAAAAAAAATTATACTTATTAACTAATGCTATAGTAACATCAATAACTAATTTCCACATGATCTTGAACCCTCGATGTCTGCATCAGAGAATGCTTACTCATAGTTAAAGAACATCTGTTTATTAATAACTTACAATATCCCTAGACCTAAAATTATTCTAAGTAACTTCACTTAACCGCCATTTGTTAAGAATAATTATAATTTGATGTCTCATGCAACATGTAATTTTGCTACTTCTGTAATCTGTATTTCTTTCTTTTTACCATTCTACTAAATATTTTTAAGTTAATATGAAATGTTATGACCTGTGATTTCAGCATGTGAACGAACAGCTGAGTGGCTAGGTTTAAGTAATAAAGGGCTGATCCTATTAGATATATTAAGTGTTCACAGACTCTAGTTTTAAGTAGTATTATGTTTTACTAATGAATGTGATCTTACAGTCACTACATATACACAAAATCCAAGAACAAAGAAGTGTTGGTATTTGATCTTCATGTTCATAGAAATGTTTAATTCAGAAGCTAGGTCTATATATTAGTTTGAGCTGAACTTGAGGGTAGAAGTTTTTTACTAAAAAGCTGTAATATTTAGAAGAGTCAAAATAGGGTTTTGTAGCTTGAGGAAATAATGTCAATACTATGTTTCAAACTTTAAGCTTGTTTGTTTACTTTTCTGGAAATTGCATTTTCACTTTAAGGTACCTATCTTGTTTCTGTATTTTTTTAAGATCCATATTCCCCCCTTTTTAAATTATCAATTTTGAATAATCTTGTAGATATAATTATATCATCATCTCCAGATTTTGCTGAAAATGGAATAACTGTATTCCAAAATGTTTGCAAGTTTTGTAATTAAAAATGTTTTATGTCTTATTAACCATCTTCATCTTTATTACTAGAATTCATTATCCCTATCATGAATCCAATGACTGTTACTAACGTTAACAACCCATAATCTCCAAGGAAATGGACACTGTCCATATAAAAATTTTACTAACATAGATGATTATCAGCTTGAACATCTTATATAAACATAATACTTGGGGTAACAGACACTATCCATATGAAAGTTTTAATAACACTGGTGGTTATCAATTTAAACACCTTATATAACCATAATTCTTGAGGTAATGGACACTGTCCATGGGAAGTATTTCATTAATGCTTATAGTTGGGTCATATCAATCCCCTTCATGGATTCTGATACTGTTTGGCAAGGATGTTGGTGTCATAGAGATATAAGATCCTGCCATGTTTCACATCTCTCAGTCTAACAGTTTTTATATAAGAGGCCACCAAACATTTAACCCAAAATGGTTCCCAGATGAGACCAACTTTTAATTTCTAATGCTAAAGTTAAAAAGTAAATTATTGCTGGGAAGCTCTCTTTGTACTCTATCCAATTATGACATTTTTTCTAACATTCAGATTTTTGATCTTGAATTGTGAAATTATGACCTGACTTGGACTTTCAGTCACAGCAAGGATTACCAAAAGCAAGGTTGGATACTCAATTTCATGTCATCCTCTAAGTGTGTACCAAAAATCAGCCTGGGATCTTGATTGGATAGGGAAGTATTCACTTGTTATAGTTGTATCATTGGAGATTCACGGGTGAAACTTTCTTAGTGCATTTAATAATGTAGTAACATTGACACAGCTTGGTATGTGAATGGTTAAGATTCGTACAAATAGTGGAAAGGCTGATGTGATGAGGTACGTTTGCATAAATAACAAAACATGCAACATTACTACAGAGTAATATGCAAGCATATCACATGCTTCTCACCTGTTTTTGTAATATAGGAATTTTTAACATTTTAGTCTGATTATATGCAGAAAATAGTTGTTTCTATTTTTATCTTTGTTGTTCTCTAGCACATGCTATCTACTTTGCCCATAGGGATGTTGCTGCAACTTCATACATTGTGCAGAACAGGTCAGCAACAACGTATCTTACTTGCCAAGTAGATATCTATATGTTACAGCCTTCACTTAGAAAGATGCTGACTGTCCAAGTTTTTTACACAAGGATGCACACTGTGGTATTTTCACTCAGAATATATATATATATAATAAAAATTGTGTTTCACTTTTCATCATGTGTCCAATTCATTAATTTTCTTAGCTTTAAACTTAGTCATTTAACTGAACTTAGATTTACTTTGCAATTTTTATTATTAATCCTGTTGGACCTATTCAATACTCATTTGAAAATCAATTTCACCTGAGAATATCACAATATTTATACTGACACAATCAATGACCTTTTTGGGCACTGTTCTTTGGTAAGTTGTACATTCTCCCTTTTCTGCACTGGTAAGGAGACTTCAGTTTGAATCAAATCATTTTGGCACTTAGTGAACAGTTTTTGGGCTGGAATCAAATGAAAATTCCACAGAGGTACTTTTTCACCATGTCCAAACTGATTGTATGCAAATCCTTCTTGTATGCTTTGGTAGGGTGTAAGTTCTTTGGGCTACAACACTTTTCTTTAGAAGACTAGAATAATTGGTGAGGAACTTTTAAGGTGGCCAACATACATCAGCTTTGGCTCCAGCAAACCCTTCACTCATAGCTAACACACGTCAGCTATGGCTCCAGCAAACCCTTCACTCATAGCTAACACACGTCAGCTATGGCTCCAGCAAACCCTTCACTCATAGCTAACACACATTGGCTTTGGCTCCAGCAAACCCTTCACTCATAGCTAACACACATCAGCTTTGGCTCCAGCAAACCCTTCACTCATAGCTAACACACATTGGCTTTGGCTCCAGCAAACCCTTCACTCATAGCTAACACACATCAGCTTTGGCTCCAGCAAACCCTTCACTCATAGCTAACACACATCAGCTTTGGCTCCAGCAAACCCTTCACTCATAGCTAACACACATCAGCTCTGGCTCCAGCAAACCCTTCACTTATAGCTCAATCAGCTGCTGTTCACTTGATAGAAGTTTGACTCACTCCTATGAAGCAAGTCATTTGGAAAGAAGCAAAGATAATCAGTAGTTCATAGTTATGAATTCTTCAGTATGCATCACACTGAGCACATGCTCCGTTAAATACTAGTATAATCAGATTTTATACCAGTTTTCCATCCAACCAGTCATCATATTATGTAGCATCAGCACCCTGAACTTTTGGTATGCATCAGTGTGTCTTATGATGTTTTTACATACTAACTGAACCTTCTCGTCTCTAAGTTGTTTTTTCCTTTCCAATCATTCCTAAATTTATCACCTATAAAACTACAATGACACAATGTACTGAGTGAATACATCTTGATTCCATTAAAATCACAGACTGATTTTTAGTACAAACTCAGAACGTGGTGTGAGCTTCAGTATCTAAGTTTGATTTTGGTCATTCATGTTGGGGCTAACAATCTAACAGGTCAAAGGTCAAAATGCTGAATGTTAAAAAAAATGGCATACACATCTAGAGCACAAAGAGAGAGCTTTCTAGCAATGGCTGACTTTTTACTGTATTGTAAAATATAAGTCATTTGGACTTTTATGTCACTCATCTGGGAGCCATTTTTGTTTAAACATTTGATGATATTTAACATAAAAACTGTTTGACTTAATGACATGAAAATAAGCTAAATCTTGTACCTTTGTGGCATCAGATCCTTGCCAATTACATCACAACTGGAAGAAATCATGTTAGAAACCGGTATGACATGGACCTATCTGTTTATCAATTTGAACACATTATAAAACCATAATCATTTATGAAACTTTTTTTCCCATTTCTACAAGAACTTCTTAATTTTTTATTATCTCGTATATGGCTTTTATTATTAAACAGAATCCATAAGTATGCATTCTCACTATGTTGTCTTCCCAGGCCATATGTAATCTAAACTATTTGTCAGAAATAAACAAGCTTACATGTATTCTTACTTGTTCAATCTAAACTATCAGCCAGAACCAAACAGATCAAGCTATACATTAAACACTTACATATCTTCTTATTTATTTAAACTATCAGCCAGAACCAAACAGAGGTTCTGGCTGATAGTTTAAATAAATAAGAAGATATGTAAGTGTTTAATGTATAGCTTGATCTGTTTGGTTCTGGCTGATAGTTTAAATAAATAAGAAGATATGTAAGTGTTTAATGTATAGCTTGAAAACAGATCAAGCTATACATTAAACACTTACATATCTTCTTATTTATTTAAACTATCAGCCAGAACCAAACAGATCAAGCTATACATTAAACACTTACATATCTTCTTATTTATTTAATTTATCAGCCAGAACCAAACTGATCAAGCTTAGATATATTCTTACATATTTAATCTAAACTATCAACTCCTAATAAAAACACAATTTTATATGAAATAATTCACTGGGAGGTGAGTTACAGAAACACTGTATACAAAACTAGAAAGTCAATAACTAATCAGAACAAAGATGCAGATATCATCCAAATGTGGATCTCCCACATAGTTATCAGTATTGTTATGTATATTAGACTTAAAAATCAGCAACTAATCAGAATAAAGATAGAGACATCAGCCAAATCTGGATTCCTCACACAGCTGTCATCATTATTATGTATTCCATACTAGAAAGTCAGCAACTGACCAAAGCAAATATCAACCAAATCTAGACTCCCCACACAGCTGTCAATATCGTCACACAGATATCAAGCACAACCATAATTCTCCAACCATTCACTTGAAACATTTAAGCCAAACAATCATAAGTGACCGAAAACAAACATAGACTCGCATCTTCCTTGAAAAGGGGAGAAGAAAGATGACACTCATATACAGCTGACTTTAAACAAAGCCAAAATGAAGGAGTTCTATATCTAATGGTAGGTGAAACTAATTTCATAAGATGCTAGATGATTAAATAATAAAAAAACATCACTTAAATGAAACTTTTTATTTCAAAAGAAATCCGATTAAGATGAATGTAAATATTTTATAATAAACTCAGAATGAAATAGCTCTTGTGTAAGCATGTTTTATGAAACATAAATATTGTGATATTTATTAATTGTAGGGAAAAAATATGAAAATTGATTTTTTTTTTTTAAAGTGTGCAATTCACTCATTTCTTTCCAGAATAAACATTTTTGGATCCATGGGAAAAAAACAAACTTACAGTAATATCTTCAATATCTGGAAGAGTAAAGACATTGTTACTGTCTGTCTGGTCTACAATAATTCCCTCCTTCTTTAACTGAGTTGCTAGCATTTCTAGTGCAGCTGAGGGATTAGGGTAAGTAGATAGGTGGATGACTTGAACGAGGACAGGTAAACTGGAAGGGTTCTCAAGAACAAACTCTTTAACCTGAAAAGAAAATATTCAAATACAGTTAAAATTCATAATTGTAACTAAAACTAATAAAACACAATATTCACATGTAAAGACCATGCCTTGGAAGATTTGACTCAGAATCAATAATGGTTGAAATATTAGAAGTTTCAATGTATTTATTTTTCTAACAAAAATAAATGTGTTCAAATAATACAATTTCATTAATTAGATATATATATATATATTTATAATACCCACAAATACAATAAAATACTTCTCAGTATTTGTTTCAGAAGTTTGCACGAGGCTGAATAAGGACTATCTTAGCATAGCCATCTCTAATTTTGAACAGATAAACTAGAGAGAGAGAGAAAGGGCAGTTAGTCAACAGCACTCACCACCACTAATTCTGATTGAACAGTGGGGTTTCACCATAATTTGAATATTGCATTCACAGCCACAAAGCGTGTACACATTATCGTGGCAATAGAAGGTGAGTCATGAATCATCAGGTTCACAGTCCAGGAATGCTAACCACAAGATCATTTCTGGACTATTCTTATGGTGAATTAATTTTTTCTGTGGATTCTGAACAGTACCTCCCTTTCACCACTCTTACTTAAAAAAAATGAATGTTCAATATATGATTTAAATTATGACAGTCTTCAGATGTAATTTGTTGAATTATTACCTACCATGATTCTGTAGATATATAGAAATAGGTATGTGTAACTTACTGTTAAATTGCCAACTTGGGTAATGGGGAAAGACAATCGACACTTGTGGATCAATTTGGGCCACTGTAATGATGCTTGTGCAGTAAGTATAAAACCTCGCACTTCGCTAGTATCCAACTGTAAAGTCACATTCATGCTACAAAAAGAGAAACACTATTAATGCAACATGTAGTAAAACTGACATGTGTAATTACATCATTTTTATGATAAAGATGCAACTTCTATGGTTGATTTAAAACAGAAAGTAATTATTAACAGTAAGTTACAAACTGGAAACATTTAGTCACAATGCATACAACTGAATACTTGTTCATGATAAAATCTTGAGAGCAAGAAAATGACGATAAGAATATGTTAAAACAAAAACATCAATAATTATAACTAAGTTATGTATATATATATATGTAGACAAGAATAGTCATAAATATGAAAAAAATATTATGAACTGTACGTTGGACATTTAACCCTTTTGCTATGGGTAGATCAAAGTGTGCATATTATGATTTAGAGTTACATTCAAAATTTAATTAAAGTACTTTATCATCATAATACACAAATAAACTTAGCATCAAAATGTAGTTGATAAATCAAATTTTTAATAATATAAAGTTTTAAGTTCTTCATTTTATAAGGAAATATTTTTTAAATCCTCATTCTCCCCTAGTATGAGAATCGTGACATTTGTTTTCTAGGTCTTCCATGTTCTCTAATTTAACGTAAATTACTCATTATAATATAGATATTACTAAAGCGAAGCATAATTTTTATAACCTTCGATCTTATTTATGGAGCATAAATAAGAAACTCGCACCCACTTGCCATGCTCACCTGTCACATCCTCTCTTTCACAAATTGCCAACAGTTCTCTTTGAGCTTTTCTACTACATTATTTATAGCCAATAGAAAGCCAAAGGTTTAATCTATCAAATGATGTAATATATTACATTGTTTTCTGTACAGAGCATTGTCTATTTTGTCTTCAGTTTGAAAATTTCTCTTGAAGTATTCACATCAACAAGCTTAGCTACATTTTTAAAGACTCTTATCACATAGTTAGAAAGCCAAATAAATTATGATAGTTATAGGACATTGTTTGCTTTGTGTGTGTTATTATTTTGTATTTATAAGTGCTTTACTTGATTAATTAAAAAATATTTAGTGTACTAGTACCATTAGTATAATAATAGGTAGGCTTAACTTTCATCAACAGTCGACATAAAAAAAACAAGAAGACATGGGTAAGTACTATATTTCTTGTTTTTCATGTACATCCTTTATTTACTATTACAAAAATAACTACGATGTAAAAATTAGAAATTATTAAGTCAGATTAGGTAATATAATATAAAAAAACTATCCAGGATGTATGGTTGCAAGCAGCTTGTGCATTATGTAATTCAATATGGTAACTTGAGTTTATGAAAGGGCTATAAAAAATTTTCTGACTCAACTCAAAAATTATTTCTTGATATTAATTAAAGATGCTTCAATGATGAACTTGGAAAGATTAAAGAATGTTGTTCAAAAAGAAAAACATAGTATTCTAAGTTATGTGATTATTTTTTACATATCAATGTTCTAATAGGAGAACAAACAATATATTCAAATGATCAAACCACATTACTGTTTTTGTGAAAAGACAAATTTGCTGTACATTTTGCATTATTTTCTACAGGAAATAAAAGGTTTATGTAAATGAAATGTTTTTTATATCCTTACTTCTTTTCTCCAATGTCTATTAACTTCTGCCAACGCTGAGAAAAGGTTTTATACAAATCTTTATCCAAGTCTCCTATGTCTGATGGTAAACTTATTCCTGACAACCACTGATGACCAGCTTTGGAAGAAAGATGGAAAAAAACACAAACAACTGAACCAAAACTTTCAGGATAACTAATGTATTTATTTAAAAAATAAGGAATTTTCATCTTAAAATTTGATTAGTTGCCAAGCCAATCATTACATTTTCAGATTTGTTCAGTTTTTTATGGGTCTCAACTAAATCAAACTGCTAGCAACTAACAGCATATTCAACCAAAGCTAGCAGCTAATTGGTTAAAAAAGGGACAAACTTTATAGAGGAAGCACTGAACACTACAAGTCAGTTTGTTCTCACAGCAATGGAGGTGGTATTTACTGCCACCAAAATCCACAGAAAAATGAGTAATACCAAGTGTTTACACTATTGTTTTAGACCAGTGTTTATCAAATATAACATCATTAACAATGGTATATAATGAGGGGTGGCTACCAGTTTCTAATATACCCTAAAATAAGCTCACAAATCAGGTAAAATTCTTTCAATATTTGCTTGTAGTAGCAAAACTTTTAAAACAATAAAAGAAACATATGAAAAATAAGTATTTCCTTTCACAGTAGCTTCTGTCTAGCAGATACTGTGTATAGATGTGATGCTCCAGCAGGTACACATGTAGTTTATGTCTAGTAGATACTGTGTATAGATGTGATGCTCCAGCAGGTACACATGTAGTTTATGTCTAGCAGATACTGTGTATAGATGTGATGCTCCAGCAGGAACACATGTAGTTT